TTGAAACAGTTACCGGGGCAATGAAATTAACCTGTAGCTGGTTGCGGGGGCTTGACTACCTCATCATCGTGCCCCCACTCACACTCATACAACGTTTTCTCTGTGTATCAGAAACCGACCAAGTTGGTTCGCGGGTCGCGTATTTTATAACGTACCTAAAAAACACCTGCGTCTGGTGCCTTTAAACGCCCTTTTACCTTAGAGTGTCGAGACAAAACCGTTTATAAGAATTCAGTGTTAATCCCTGTGGTGGCTGTGCTAACATTTTATGTTAATTTAGCGTAAAATATGTGAACTTTCTATCAGTGTCGTTCGATTGTTGATGTTGATGGTGACGTCACTCCTTATTATGAGTTTGTTTGCTTACCTCGTATTTTGATTAAAACTAGGTAAATGGGAGAATTTGTACCGTTGTAAATATTATATTACGCTGTCTATCGTGTTATATGATGTACATATTTTGCCACATATGCATTTTGATAAATACTTGGTATGTGAATCATGTTTAAAGGTACGCGGTTCGCAGCCACACCTGTATATGCGAGTGTGGCAATTGAGGAGGTATCTCCTCACAGCGGCAACACCGGCCTTTGTGTAAATATAAAATTTCACTATAAAATATAATTGAAAGATTAGAAAAATCTATAAAATACATAAAATATATCAATCCCAAATACTGCATTCAGTGCGTTGTGAGCAGGGCTTATTTTTAAGGATACCCTGATGCTTACCATTTGTCGGTATCTTTAATTATAGGTTATTTATTATAGACTACGAAAATTATTACGTTAAGTACGTTTTTCGATATAAATCGAAAATATTAAAAGAATTTAGCCAGATTTCAAGTGTATCAGTGACATTTTTTTTTAAATTAAAATATCAAAAATAACTAGTATTTTACTATCAAAATATTTTTTTGATAAGTCCGTGACAGTAAGATAAATACGGGCTCGTCTGTGTCTCACTAAGCCACAGACTATTTTCTACAGAGTGTTTTGAAGATTAATTATTACAATCACAAGGCGGCAAAAGTATCACTGTAAAAAACAATTGAACAAACTTCGAACAATTTATAGTAAATAATAAACTTTTAGTGAAAATAAGGTAATTTATGCACATTGTATGACAAATAAATAATTAAATTATGATTATTACACGTTTTTACATTGCTTCCACAAACAAATAAATTCTATAATAATAGTGATTATTTATTTTATTATTAAGACAAAACAAATCATTCATTCGCTAGAATATAATTTCACTACGAGTAGTAGAAGTATGTATGCCTACCTATGTATCCACTGTTTCAGATCTATAATCTGTCACAATTCAATATTTTTTCCTGTCTTAAAAAGTGGACTTTCTTGATACTAAATTTGCTATTAGAGTTCGGCCATAAGACCGATTTTTATTTTAACTCAAAAACGCAGTTAGGGTGTTGTCATTTTTTTAATTTGAAATAAAGTGTAATTTTAATTTTGAATTTTCTGAAATCTAATAATTATTACAACAGTTTTGCGTTATTGAAAACAAAGCAATTTTAATTTTACAATTTAAGATATAATGTTTGCAATTTTAGCGTACGTAATACTTCATGTCAAAAATGTTTAAAATCGTAGTTATATATTCTCAACGTGTTTTTTTAACTAAATATGTAGGTAATTTTGTTTAAAATTTTCAATTAATGTGTACCTAACAGAAGTTTTCTACTGTAATTAGGAAATTATTTATTTCAAATTAATCAGATACGTTTAAAATGTCCTTCTGTTGTTTATTGCTTATGGTTTTTTTGTAAATCTCACGCTTTAAATGCAATATATCCATGAAGGTCTTATAAATGCATATTTTAGTATGTTTCATTATTAGTCTGAATATTAAAAGGAGGAGTAACAATGGTTAATAAATACTTACGTGATCGTGAATGGGTTATACACGGTTACAAATCTACAAATTTTAAAATAAAAAACAAAAACAATAGCAATACGAGTATAAATGTATTATTGAAGTTTTAAAATTTTTTAACAGGTATTTTTTATAGAAGAGATTTTTATGACAGTGAATATACGTGTTCCTTTTATGTAAATTATAAAATAAATAACTGAGGATAAATCTGTTTCAGTAGGTTATGATTTAGAAAATACGCGTAGTATAGATACATACTTAATAAGGGTGCTTCCAAAAGAAAATTACGAGTACTGAAACAAAAGAATTTTATCCTAATTTAGTGAAACATGCTTACATACCATTAAGGCAGACAATCACGTTGTGAGAACTAATGTTTTTGTGAGTAATAGGGTCGTTGTCGCGTTTATCACTATTATTTCTAGAATAGTCATTCCCAAATGACGTACGACATATTCTTACTTAGGTTAAATGAATTCTTATGAAGCCAATTTTAAAATGTCATTTCCAAAATGATTAAATAATGAAAGTTTAAATTTGTTTTAATAGACACTTTAGATTTAAATTTTAATGATGAAACTAACTATTTAATTATTATTATTGCAAATAATTATGGAATGTAAAATACACCCGACGACAATTATTGCATACAAATGCTTATACAGGGTGTTTACGGTCTTGGAGTTGAAAATTGACCTAGTTATAGAAGAGTACCGAAGTATTTCGGTACTCGAAAATCGAGCAAAAAAACTCACTCAATTGTTATTATTAAGAATGTTATTTAACTCTAAAATATTGGTACACGGTTTGAGGGTCACTGGAATTATTTTCCTGTCGAGATAAAATTGTATTGTTGCAACAAATAAAAAAATTATATCAATGACAATGAAAGAGAAAAGTCACTTCGTAGTTTTGACACTGTCATTATTTGATTTGCTTTTGCTTTAGTTTTTATCAAAATTCGAAGGTCTTCTGTTTAATCTCTTCCAGCGAAATGGTTTTCAGTCGGTAGGTTTGATTCGTTTTTCTTAATTTTTTTCCAAATTTATAAACATAAAATATTAAAATAATAAATTGGTTGTCGTGATCATGATTTATGGTGAAACACAAGGTAATAATACTAATGGATGTTGCAGCCAAAGCAGCAGTTCTCAAACAAATAATATAAAGTGAATTATTTTCTTTTACAACGTTAATTTTTGTTTTATATAGCGTATTGGTTTTCTTCTACCGAGAATATCACAATATCAGGTCAATTTTTATTTTCTAGGGAACACCTTTTAGGGTACTTTTGAAAGTTGTAATACAAACAGAAATTCGACTGTGTGTTTTGTTTGAGTTCTGAGTATTTTTTATTTACGTTACGCAGCACAAGATCTGACCTGCCCTGACCTGAACATTTTGAACATCTCCTATAATTTTTTTTTCGTGTATTGTTATTGGAGTGCCGTATTTTCATAACAAAAAATGTCAGTTTAATTTTAGTTTAAAAATAAACCTTCAACTTTGTTTTGTATATTTACTACATCACTATTACCAGTAATTGAGCGCCATATAACTTTATAAAAAAACAATCGAAATTCAAAAAAACGCAGCCGAATTCTGCCATTTAAAATTTTGAAGGGGTTGTCTGTATTGCCAGATTTCAAAGGTGTCCCCCCTGAAAATAAAAATTGACCTATTTTGAGAATTTCTAATTTTTGTTAATTTTTCGGAGATATCCAGGGTGGTTCGTTTCTGTATTACATATTTAGAACAAGAAAATACTTATGTTGTGTATTTTTATTCTGTTATGTCAATTTGTTTTGCTGAGTTATCAGTTACTACAATATATTTTTCACAATAATGTTGTAAGTAACTTGTGAATAGGAAATGAGTTTCAATACGTTTAAAAAGCGAGATTCCTTAAAGGACGACTTACATTGTCTGATTACGAGGATGTCCAAATTACACTAGGAAGTAGACGTATTGAAACTATATTTTTTATTATTAACATCATTTATTTTGCACATCAGAAATAACTCTATAGCCTTTATTAAAGATTCATTTTGTCACCAATTTTTAGGTGACAAATCACCAATCACCAATTTTTAGGTGACAAATCAGACGATATGAATAATAAAATATTGCGTATGATAGTCACGTCAAAATAAACTATATAGAAGTGCATTTTTGCATGCATACCAATATGACGAAAAAATTCGCTTAAAAATTCTAATGATTTTACTTATGTTGTTTTGTTTACATAGATAGGGAGCATTTACCTTACCCAAGGTATAGAAAAATAATAATTTCAGTGTGACAAAAAAATTGGACTTTTTAATTATTTATGCCTTGACAGGTTAAATTAATTATATTCATTTCAGAATTTTTGTAAAATATTTATAAGGTATGCAAAAATAGTGTTAATAATTGAAATTATATTTCTATACTCGTATTATAAAACCTTTTCCAAACATTCGGTTAATTTTAGTTGTGAGATACTTAGCTAGAAAAGTAAAAAAGAAATAGTTATAAACAAATTTAAAACGATTATTCTTTTGCGCTCAGTACAGTAAACATTACATTTATAAGGATTGTACATAATTTATCAAACACAGGTAAAATGATAAAAAAACGCGACATTTATTATCTTCTATGATATATACTTTTCATTTTTATAGTCTGCGCCACAAATTTAAAATTTTGTATATATTTCTCTCTATCTAGAACGTTCCAGTTTTCGTAAAAAGCCCTTATCCATATACCTACTTAAAAATGTAATATTTACTTTAATCATACATAGATAACAAAAATCCAGAAAGGTGTAAAACGGACGATAGCAGTCTCAGTTAAAATAGATATCTGTTTGTTATAGATTTGTTAGAAATGATTATTTAGTGGCACCTTCCCGTTATATTCCGCAAACAAAGAAACGGTCCTTAACACCTGACTTCCTCTTTTATCGTATCTTTTTACCTGCTTCGAGGTAAAAGTCGAAAAGGTTACGTAAATCTACAGGTTGTTGGTAAAGCCAGGTAGAAAACGATTACGTACGTTACACACTCCGCCTTAATGAAATTCGTCAGGACCGTACTAATACTTTTTCTCCCTTTCAGGTGCAAGACAAATTAGAAGATCTTCCAGTGCTTCCGAAAGCAGCTACGAAGGAAGCCCAAGAATTGGTAAAGGATTTGTCCCTACGTTGTAGCAATTCAAAAAATAAGGAAGCCAAAGAACTGTTTGAGTTACTATCGACACCTCATTTTAAATCCCTAATTGACTGTCACGACCAAGTCGCGCGGATCAGCGAAAATCCTCCAAAGCCCGTGAAGACTGACATTTCGAAATTATTCCCAGCATTAAACGGGATGACGGGAGAGGCGATAAGAATGGTGGGTGTCCGCAAAAAGGACGGCGAGCCTTTGGGTTTGACAGTAAGTTAAAACAAAACTGTGTTTTTTATTAGGTTTTAATCGTTCTCTCTTTAGGTACAGGTGGATGACAACGAAAATTTGGTAATAGCAAGGATATTGGAAGGTGGGATGATTGAAAAACAGGGCCTACTTCATGTTGGTGACGTGATTTTAGAAGTCAATGGAACACCGGTAAAGAGCGCTGAAGACCTACAAATTGAAGTGGCAAAGTCGAAGGATTCAGTGACCCTCAAAGTTGGTCAACCGCAAGAAATGCAAACTCACGCTTCACTCGTTATGAACGGAACAAGCAACGGAGTCGCAAAAAAACTTACAGTATGTTTATTTTTTTATCAACGCTTAATTTTTTTCTAACATAACTATTTTTTTACAGTGTTACATGAGAGCTCTTTTTGAATACATCCCAGAAGAGGACAGTCTTCTTCCTTGCAAAGAAATAGGTCTGCCATTCGACCGGGGTGACATTCTCCAAATTGTGGATCAAAGTGATCCTAATTGGTGGCAAGCAAAGAAGGTGGAAGGAGATGGCAGAACTGGTTTAATTCCATCTTTGGAACTGGAGGAAAGGAGAAAAGCATTTGTAGCACCAGAAGCTGATTTTGTACATAAAATAAGTATATGTGGTGCTAGGATTTCAAAGAAAAAGAAGAAAATAATTTATCAGTCCAAAAGCAATTGTGATTTTGATAAGGCTGAACTTTTGTTGTATGAGGAAGTTACAAGAATGCCTCCATTTAAACGAAAAACTCTAGTTTTGATCGGAACACAAGGAGTTGGAAGAAGAACATTGAAAAATCGTTTGATTAATAGTGATCCTGATAAATTTGGAGGAGTTGTACCGTGTATGATTCTTTTCAACAAAACCAAATACAAATTAGTCATTTGTTCTTTTAGATACAACCAGACCACAACGAGTTTTAGAGGAAAATGGACAAAGCTATTGGTTTACTGATCGTGAGAGTATGGAGGAGGATATAAAACATTCAAAATTTTTGGAGTATGGTGAATATAATGGCCACCTGTACGGAACACATCTCGATTCTATTAGAGACGTAATTAAGCAGGTTTGTAGGTTAAAAAATGTAAAGATAGAAAAATTTTGATCCCTTCAATTGTAGGGAAAAATGTGTGTGTTAGATTGTAGTCCCATCGCATTGAAAATTCTACACAACAGCTCAGAGTTTCTACCTTATGTAATATTTATAGCAGCTCCAGGAATGGAACAACTTAAAATTTTATATGACGTGGGGAGGAGTAGCTCTAATTTACGATACTCGAGCCGAAATCTAACAGTGAGTACAAAAATTTGCATAGATGTTGCATGAATATGATTTGTTAAAAAATTGCCAGTTTTGTGAGAATGTGTCATTATGTAGCTTTTTTTTTGCATGATAGTTTGATCGACAGAGCTCGATACGCTACAGCTCCAGGAGAGCAAGGACACTAGAGTCGTTAGCCTCTCTGTATGAGGTGAGTATTATACGATGCAATGTGATTTTACATATTTGTTCACGCAAATGAAATACTATTTATGAATTACTATTATTTTGGTATTGTAGGAGGAAGATCTGAAACGAACACTTGAGGACAGCGCTAGCATGCAACGAACCTACGATAAATATATTGATCAGGTTATCGTCAACAATGATTTTGATACAACTTTCCGACAAATTGTGGAGGCCTTGGATACTTTAACCACTGAACATCAATGGGTCCCAGTTAATTGGATTTATTGATATTCTACTGCCATATATTATAAGGAATCTTTCTTTAATTCTAAGATTTTATAAAATATCTTTACGAAATGTTTTTATTTGAATTGGAAAAAGAATCTCAGTATTAATTAGATATTATATAGTAATATATAGAAATGCTCGCTGATTGTTTTACAAGATTTATGTTTGTTTTACTGGTGCGGTAGGTACTACAAAAAAAACTGGAATTTAAATAGATATATGATCTTTTAAAATATAAAAGTATTGTTAGCTTTCAACTTCCTTTGCTTATTTGTACACTAGCCTGAAATTAATTTTATATTACATTTATAAAATACATCACAAGTAGAATTAGTTAAATATGACACATTAGTAGTGATATGTAGCTATTCCGGAGAGATTTTTACACAAAAGAAGGTACAAAGTYMKGCAACATCGAATAACTTTTCACAGTTTAGTCAGTAAGTAAGCCTTAAATGCCTAAYTATTATTAAGTGTATATATTTGAACTGAGCAAAAGATATGAGTCACCCGTACTATGAAGTAGATTGCAGAACGAGTTCAAATTTATTTGATTAACTCTTCTGCAATTAGATAGATTATTAGAATTAGATTGTTATTATAGGTGCTTTATATTGTATCATTTTAACCGTCCAAGTGTTCAGGGAAATGTGTTTTGATGAGATTATTTACCTATATTCAATGATCTTTTGCAATTATATACATTTCTTTATACATACTTACATCATACTTAGGTATAGTTTTAATGTTTAAAATATTGTTTTCAAATATAATTTTTATTTAGTTGTGACAATTTTTAATTTGTAGTTTATTCGGTTGCGCAAATAAAAATAGCTCTTTAAATATTTTGTTTCATTATTCAAGGAAAATACATATTTATAACTTATAAAATAAATAATTTGGGAGATAAAGATTTCCCGCTTAAAAATATTTTTATATTAGAGAAATTTAACACAGTACTCACATGTTGCTAGTTTTAGTTCAAGTTTATAAGTTTGGTGCGTAAGATTATATTTCGAAGATTTTTTTAGTACCAAAAATTTAAATTTCGGGCGTTAAAATTTATTTCCACAAAAATCAATAGGCGCCAGTGGCGCCACCCACATGTATGCACACGTGCGTTTTGACTGCGTATCGTTGGTTTGTGATGAAAATAGAATTGTTGGTAATATGCTAAATATTCATTCTATTTACATCGTTTTTGCTTTTCATTGTATTTATTTTGAAATATGACGAGAAATTACTTACGGTAATTCATTTTAGTGTTGCGATTATTAGACTTCCATGTCTCAAAGCATAACCTCACTTTCACTACGTGTTTTGTTACTATAATAACTAGTCTGTTTTTTTTAATGGAAATTAGCAAGTCAAAATTTTGGTGAAAAAATTGGTAGCAGCTTGACTCCATAGCCACAAATTTTGTTTGCTCTTTGTTTTTGTCCCTAGAAATTACCTAAGGTCTAAAGACAGAATTCAGTGCTAATAATTTTGACAGAAACACATCGCAAGTAAGTACAATGTTGTGGACAAAAATGAGATTCTTGTACAAAAACTTTGAAGAAAAAGGATGTATATACAGAGAAAAAGCTATTTAGCAAAAGATACAAGTAGGTATTATGATGATTGGCAATAAATTTTGTGTAATTTATTGAAATGAGCTCAAAGTTGAGGCATTTTATAAATTCTTCTTCAGCTTTAGTTTCAAAATTGTTACTTTTTCAACTCGTTCCTCAAAAACGATGCACAAGACACTAATTTAATTGCGTTCTTTCCGAGGTTCTTTCTCATTCATGTTTACTTTGTACTCTTCTCAATTTTTTTGCTAAAAATTAAGAATGCAAAACAGACTTTGTAACGTTTAAATAAAATAGAAGGGGGTAACTAAGAATCATGCGCGAAGACCGTACAAAATTCGGGTACGGGACGAGTCAGTGTCGAGAGGTCAAACGAAGAGCCAGCAACAAAATCAAATAATCCAGTAAAATTATATCAAATGGCGTCAGAATAATTAATGAAGTAATGACACTACCGCAACAATCGAACCACTATTGAGGACGCTCACCACCTAAGTAGGTTAAGTTTCAATTTTTTTTTCAAGGTTTTAATACCCCATTTTAGGCCCTCTTTAACTTTTTGACTCTTTAACTCGTTGTTTCGGAAAATCGGAAACCACCGTCTCTTCCTCAGTTGTCGGAGGAAACCCTGGTCCCCAAATTTTGGATGATTGAGTACGCGTAGGCCCCCAATTTATTTTCGTGTTGCGGAGGAGCTTACGTTTGATGGTGCGACCTTGAGTGACCTCGCCATTCTCTTCGGAGAGACAGATAAGTCAAGACTTCGATTTTTTTTAGTGCATTTTCTGAATTTATTCTATTAATCAATTTATTTATTAATTTCGTTACTGTCAAATTTTACTTTTTTTGTTATAATTATTCTATCCCTTGTCAACATGTAAATTTTTAATCATCAAGTTTCAACGTTAATTTAAATTAAGACATTTTGTGAGCGAGCGAACGGAAGAAAATTCGTGTTTTCCATATCACTGCCTTTCGTCTTTTTTATATACAATATACGGAATTTTAATCAACCTTGTAAATTTCTTTAAATACCTCCTTCTCATTTAGGAGTTTTACCAATATTAAACTGAGTGGCGCCCTTATAATTTTCGTGAACTTAAGCCAAAACACCAGAGATTTTACCTACGACTCGCCCCGACAAAAGAGCTGCCGCCTTGCTGGTACTCCTATTACGAGCATATAAAAAAAACGCAAGTAATAGGAGAATACTATACCAGGTGAATAAAAAGTATGGAACCAAGGGTTTTTTTTCGTAAACTAAGCACTTTACGAAAAAAATAATTAGTGTATCGTAACGTACAATTAAAATGTGACCATTTATCAAGAATAACATTTTTCAAAATTTCTTTTAGTTTTCGAGTTCTGGAAAAATTTTTTTTTTAATGGCAACCCACCACGGTAATTTTTTTAATTAAAGATTATTATCTAAAAATGACCTCTAATTAAATAAAATTGTTTTTTAGTCAGTACTTTTTTTTAATTAATTGTTAAAGTTGCGTTCCGAGCTCATCACGAAGATTTTCTGAACTTAACCGAAGTGGTCATGGGAGAGCTCTGAGTTCTATGCAGATACTTTGGGGTGGTTTCGAATGGACTAAAAATAAAAGAAAATGATTTGTTCTAGGATTTTTTGATATCCGAAACCACTCCACAGCACCTGCACAAAAAAACGGGTTCTCCAACGAACAAATGCATGAAACGACCCCTTCGGTTACGTTCGGAAAATCTTCGTGATGAGCTCGGAACGCAACTTTAACAAGTTATTTAAAAAAAGTACAGACTAAAAAACTATTTTATTTAATTAGAGGTCATTTTTAGTTCATAATCTTTATTAAAAAAATTATCAAGGTGGGTTGCCATTTAAAAAATTTTTTTTTTCCAAAACTCGAAAACTAAAAAAAAATTCGAAAAATGTTATTCTTGATAATTAGTTACATTTTAATTGTACTTTACGATACACTAATTATTTTTTTCGTAAAGTGCTTAGTTAACGAAAAAACGCTTGGTTCCATACTTTTTATTCACCTGGTATTTATACAGGGTATCACAATAACTTCTAATTCTTGTGTAATTTTACTTATTTTAAGAGCTAAATAATAGCTATTTACACTACAGCTGATTATACACATTTTTTATTTACTTGTATACAAGGTGTCCCACGAGTAATAATGAACCTGAAAATTTTTTGAAGCAACCAACATTACATTTCATAGATAACGTGGATATTAAAATACAGAGTGTTTCACGTAATTCTACGAGGCCTGCGCCTGTAAGATGCAATCAATAATACATATTCCGATACTAACTCGATTACAAATTTTGAAAAATTGGATAATCTTCTCTAGTTTGTTCACCCTTTCAAAAATTACAACGTTTTTAGTTAGTTAGTGATTAAGATAGATAAACTACAATCATATTCATGCCGTCTCTTGATAGAACAAATGATAATTGTTTCTGAAAAACTGCAGTTTATGACTATTAATGAAACAGTGATTAGTTTGACAACTACTGTTATGGGTTTCCAAAAATTAAATAATTAAATGTGTATTTTTTGTATCCAGTGTTCTGTGGGTTTGTATACAGTATGTTATTGAAATGCGTTAAGAACCTTTAAACGGTGATAGAACTCATCAAAACAAATTACTTCTATATTTACCATTTTTTCGAAAACTCAAATTTATACTTCTTACATTTATTTTCACCGTATTCCGTGTCATCGAGTCGTTTATGGATGGCACGATACGAAAAAGGTTAACGCAAAAAAAGTAAATACGGCAAAAACCCATGCAGATAGGTCTTGCAAAAACTTACTGACACAATTTAGTCACGTCCTTCACCTGCATGCGGCCGTGTTTACAATTTATTGGCAAGTGAATTTCCCGTAATTATCGTCAAAAATGGTGCAGTACACTAATCCGGAGTTATCAGACATGGTCTTGATCTACGGGGAAGCTTTATCGAATGTTGCTGGAGAGATTTCGCGGTCGCCAAGTTCAACTTTAGAAAATCGGTGGATAGGTCGTAATGGACCAGTTTTATGGCCAGCTCGTTCACCGGACTTAAATCCTTTTGACTTTTTTCTATGGGACCATTTAAAACAGATTGTTGGTGAGAACTAAAGCTTCTATGGCTCGAAGGGCACAAGCATACATCGATAACGGAGGGCGTCATTTCGAACATTTAATTTGAAGGTTAGTGCCCTTGATCAAGTGTCGTGCGTAACTTGGAATGTCACTCTCACTTACTACGAATAAAAAATTGGTTTTTGCTTGACTATCTAAGTTTTTATCTTCTTTCGCTTTTAATGTACTCAGGGAGACATTGGCGGGTACTAGAATTACGTTCAAACTAATTAAGATTTTATCTGGGTTTAGAAAGATTTTTCGAAAAAATGGTAAATAGCAAAGTAATTTGTTTTGATCAGTTCTATCACCGTTTAAATTTTCTTAACGCATTTCAATAACATACTGTATTTGGGTGCGTACATTAGGCGCAAGCCTCGTAAAGTTATGTGAAACATCCTGTATGTATGTACAAATAACTATTAATGATTTACTGTAAATAGAATTACTTTACGTTAATATTGTAGTTGTTACCAGATTTTATTTTTTTCCAGATTAAATTTTTCAACCGGAAGGAAAAGTGCACACGGTGTTTTCAAAAATACTTTTTTGGGCCTCGAGTATTATTCACAGGTGTCCAAGCGGCAAAATTGTTTACAGTTTAGTGGTTAAAAGTGAACGATTTTGTAGTAACCGTATAGTGGTGTGTTTAGTGTTAAAAGTTGCAGATATACTTTCGGAATTATGAATCAAATTACGGGAAGTGCGGATTCTACATTTGGTAAACAATCGGCATCTGTCTACACACAGTGCGGTGATGCGTTGACGGTTGACGAAGAAAACATTGTTGTAACGGTTAAAAGTTACTCTCCTGTGAGGGACCTTCTCACCTGCGAAGACGATGCTAATGAGATGAAGGTAAGCGATTTTTATAAATAAAAATCTTGGGCGCAATAAAGTGGGGTGACTTTTTTGCATTTTAAAGTCTGCTTTTCTGAATTCGTCTGTAAAGTTTACGAAGTAGTCTGGAAGGTAACCCAAAATAGTCCGTAAGGAAATACAGGGCGAATCATTTATAATAAAGACCCTAAACGATTACTGATTACAGATAACTTGACATTAGTTGTATAAGAAAAATTTAGTTTAATA